AGAGAGAGAGAGAGAGAGAGAGAGAGAGAGAGAGAGAGAGAGAGAGAAAGCAAGAGACTGAGAAAGACTCACTCTTTCGTAACTGCTCCTCTCACGGGAACTAACCCATTTCAGGACAGCCTAACTCATGTCATGAGACTGGCATGAATCCTTTCCCATCAACATTGTAGCCAGGTCATCTTCCACTAGAGCCCCACCCACTAAAGGGGCTTTTAATATTTTAATATGGTACAGGTAGAAACTAAGTTCTAACATGAGTATCGGCAAGGAATTCCATGAGGGTTCTCGGTGCCTTTGCATCCATATCCGGAAGCAGAAGGCAAAGGATCAGAAACAGGGCTGATAGGAAGAAGACTTGCACCTTCGCTTCCTTGAGTCTCCACAGAGAGAAGGGTGACTGGAAACCTGGTGGACACAGCTGAGCAGCTTTTATGGCTGTATGACTGTGGACCAGTCACTCACTGCTCTGTGGGAAGGAATCTGTGGTTTCTGAGATATCTGCCCACTCTGATCGTCAGGATTCTAGTTCCTAACTCCAGATGGCTGACATTTGGGCACATCCTTAAGGATCTTTGACATTCCATCCATCTTCAGAGAATGACCTCAGAATGCTTGCCTTAGGTCTGACCACTGACAGCTGAAGCCCAGTTGGAGTTTACATGAGAAATAAACAAATCTGGAACACATTTAAACAAGTGACCCCCAAGAGCATCCTAAAAACCTCCTTCTGGGTGGCCTGGTCCATAGTCCCCATTTAACATTAAACGAGAATGTCTTTATTGTATGCATCCTGCCAGGGAGCCCAAGTCTAGGAATCTGTATCCTGTTCCTCCTTTCCTTCCTCCTTTCCTTCCTTCCTTCCTTCCTTCCTTCCTTCCTTCCTTCCTTCCTCGTAAAAAAACAAGGTTTCACTATGTTCCTCTGGCTTAGCCTGTCCTTTGATCTGTAGACCATGCTGACCTCAAACTCAGAGCTCCACCCGTATTTGCCTTCTGAGTACTGAGATTCAAGTGCACCATGACACCCGCCGTGTATCCCATGTTTCCAGTTTATTGTGCTATTGGTGGGGTCTATCTTATCGTAAGCATCCTGCTAACAGGTAAAAGGGAGGCAGAAATGAATAGAACATGGTCCTCCTGGAAGCACTTTTTTTTTTTTCCCCGATAGGGTTTCTCTTACAGCCCAGGCTGTCCTGAAACTCACTCTGTAGACCAGGCTGGCCTTGAACTCAGAAATCTGCCTGCCTCTGACTCCCAAGTGCTGGAGTTAAAGGCGTGTGCCACCACTGCCCAGCCCTGGAAGCACTTTTAATCTAGAGGGAGAAGCACACAAAATAATAGACAGCAAAAGTGAATATAGCTGCCTTTCCAGGGAAGGAATCTC